TCCTTCTCATTTTCTTTTAAACCCAAACTTTCTCTTTGTTTCATCAACTTCAAATACTACTGTCTAAAGACTTGTTTTAACCCATAAATGGATTTCTACAGGCGACATCCCATACGTTCTTTTGCTTCCACGACAAAACTTTTGGGTTGTGCCATGTAGACGTTTTCACACAAATCCCCGTTGAGGAATGCTTGTCTTTACATCCATCTGATGTAACTCTAAATCGTAATGTGCCAATAACACTATTATGATTTTATAGAATCCTTGCATGAGACTAGAAAGAAAACTCTCATCGTAATCTATTCATTCTCTTTGCGTAAAGCCTTTTGCTACAATTCATGTTTTATATCTTTGCACATTCCCTTTGGAGTCATATTTTGTCTTGTAGACCCATTCACAGCCTACTATTTTGGCTTTATTAGAAATTTCTTCTAAGTCCCAAACATCGTTGGTATTCATCGAATTCATTTCAACTTCTATAGCTTCTTGCCATTTAGACGAGTAAACACTTCTCATGGCTTCTTTCAATGAGGTGGGACCACCCTCCATTTGAATTTCTTCACTAACATAGACTTCATAGTCATCAGAAAACTAGTTTACTAATTCTTTGAGACCTTCTGGGGCCTCAGCTACTGGCACTTTCATGTGGGACTGTTGTTGCTCTTCATTGCCTAGAGGCAATTGATTCTACAGGCTCCTGTATTACAAGATCCTTATTTATATTATTCATCTTCTTCGAATAGCCAACAACAGCTGTTGTATAAGTTATACAACATCAACAGATATCAAGAAATTCGTTGTTTTAAATCACTGAAGTGGGCACGCAGTCCCGCTTCTCTTTAAGTCATAGGTCTCTACATACCGTGCTCCCCCAGATCGTCCTGTCTTTTATAAAGATAGTGTATCCTCAAATTTCTTATTTGGGTTTAATCTGTTAAAACCTTATATGGCGCGTTAAACACCGCCTTAATATCTTTGATGGTGACTACGCTATCTTCCTCTCAAAACTTTAAAAAATCCAGGAATTTAGCTGTTTCTTTTCTTAGGAGTATCATTGTTATGACTGACGGTCACATTCATCAAAATCTTCATCTCACTCTTAATGAAGAGTACACATTCATCAACATCTTTATCTCACTCTTAATTAAGAGTGGTTTCTTAATTGATCTTAATTCTTACTTTTAATTGCTCTCATAATTCTCCCCCTCGAAATATGGCATTAACTATACTGCCATAATTTCGAGAACTATTCAGAAAACTGTGAACGAGGAGACACTTATGACTTCATTCACATGATTATGCCATGCAAATAAAGTTATTTCTTGATCCGTATAGAACTCGATGAAATCTTTTTATTAACTGTACTTTTGCAAGTCATGCTTGCATCTTTTCTTGTCTTTTGATTAGCATTGACCATGACTGTGCATTTCTATTGTGCCATGGTCAATACTAGGATAGCATAAGAGCTACCCAAACATATCTCGCTATGTGGGATATAAAAATATATAAGTCATCACAAAAACTCCTCCCGACATGCAGGATGAACTAGCATAAGTACTATGGCAAACTTCTCCCCATGCGGGATAAATCTATATACAAACACACATACTTAATCCAACGTTGGTCAAATTAGACATGCATGTTACTTATTGCAACTCTTATCATAAAAACATTCACTTATACTTTATTTTTCAATTAAATCTTCCCGTTGGTTATAATTTAATCAGAAAATTAATAAACTAACAAAAAACAGTCATGAACTGGCTTGACTCAAGCCTTTTTATTCACATAGCCCAGCATTACAGCCCGTTGGTATGCAACCGAGTGATTTCGTCGATTAAATAAACAAGGTGCTTCTGCATCAATTCTACATCACCGTTGGGTAGAAAATAGAATTAATGCATAAAACTCATAAATCAACTTGAAATACATATAACTACTCTTCAAAATTAAATTCTCTCGCTGGTTCGAATTTAATTAGAAGATAATCAACATCATTACAGCGGAAACTTAATAATAAAATACATTCTTTTAGTTCAGGAGCATTTCTTGGTCGTTAATTACTCTCTGAAAAATTGACCACGTTGGTGTAAAATTTATCAGAGATTTAAACTTCAAACTTAAATTTATTATAATATTGTTATCATCAACGTTGATCAGAAAATAATAATACCATAATCTAACATAAACAAATCGGACTACTCCTCTAATTTAAACTTCTCCGTTGGTTCTAATTTAATTAGAGGACAAACATAATCATAATCATAATTTACTAAATGTAACTGCTCTTCGAATTAAATTATCCCGTTGGTTCGAATTTAATTGGAAGATAATCAACATTAAACTTTGCAGCGGAAAACTAAAAAAATAATTTATCTACTTTTCAGAAGCATTTTACTGTACTCATCTACTCTCTGAAAAAATTATCCTGTTGGTTCAAATTTTGACAGATATTTAAACTAGACATAAAACATCAAAATTTGCTTATGAAAAAATAAAACAAAACTTCACTATTGTTCTCATGCCCTCAATGAAATTATTAACGGCCCATCCGCTAGCGCGCACTGCTGCGTGGTCCAAAGAAAAAAAGGCTCCATGGCGGCCGCCGCTCGCTGTCGCCTCGCTCCCAGCGTCGAGCCACAACTTGGGCCTGGGCTGGGATTCTTCCAACCCGCCTGGGCCGAATGTAGCCCGTGCATTCATAGTCGTTCATCGCGATCGACGGCTATCTACCCAGATCGGAAGAACAAAAACGGGCGCCGGCCGCTGCTCCCCCGAACCCTAGAGCTCATTCTCTTCTCCTGCCTCTCTCTCTTCGCCGCGCTGCTCTCTCTCTCCCTTCTCTCTTAAAACCATGACGGTCGGAGATGACGACGCCGCCGCCAGTCCCCTCGCCGGTGTGTGCGCCCACCTTAGGGTGAGCGCGCCGCCGCCAAGCGGTCTAGCGACGGCGCCCTGAGCACGTGTGCGCGGCTCGGTGGAGGCTCGGGTGATCTTCCCGTGCTACGACGGTGGGATGACGGCGTTGTCATTGGGCCCCTCGCCGGCGTGCGGGCACGCCGGAGGTTGAGAGCGCCGCCGTCGAGTGGCCCTCGGGCGGTGCCCTTGGGGGCGGCCCACGCTCCCGCACGTGGAGCGCCGGCGAGCCGACTTCTTGGGCTTTTCTGCCGCGTGCCGGTGAGGCAGTGGCGGATCCTTCTTCCTGCTCGTGGCGGTGTGCGTCGACAGTGGTGAGGAAATACCAGGTTGGTTCCTCCCTCTTCCCGTCCGTTCCCCTTCTAGGGTTAGGATTAGGTTAGACTATTTCTTCTTGCGCCCACGGCGGCTCGGGGTGGCTTCCCGCGCGGCGTCGAGGCAACGGCCGGCGGTGGTGATCTAGGGTTAGGGTTTTGGGAAAATTGGGAAACTGTAACTCTTTCTATATTTCTATTCACTTTTCTACCCCAGATTCGATCTACACACTCCAAGAAACCTTGGCTCTGATACCATTGATAGGATTTGTAGGACCTCTAGGTGCAGATCTAGCGGGTAATGACTTAACTTAAATAGAGAACTTGATGATATACCTCGCCCAGTGAAGTCACGGCCATGGCGCCGGTGAGGAAGTGCAGGCGCGGTCTGGAGGCAGCGGTGAAGGCGGTGGTGCTTTCCGTCGCTCACAGCGCGCCCTCACGATCGGACTAGGGTTAGGACATGGTGGGGGCGCTGGCGGCTACGGTGAACCTCATGCCTTGTGCACCAGCCCCCACTTTTCTCTTTATAGCGCTGCGCGACGGGGTCCCATCGGGCCAGAGAATGGCTGGGCGCTTCTGATCAGGACGTGGATCAAGAACCCAATTGACCGTTGGGCCAACTGGTGGAGATCAATCTAAGTACCTGTGATCAGAAATCCCGTGGCTTACCGTTATGGGATCCTGCCTGGGATCGATGCAATTTCGAATAGGATTCACCACCATCCATTGACAGAGGAACATCGTTAGGACATGGGACCAGTGAAAGGCGTCACGTTATATACTGGCTGAATAAAGGGTGGATTTTGGCCGAAACAAAGCATTCCACGAGCAGACGACTCGATTACAGCAGCAGCGTGGATCGAATTTGCAGGCCCTGGTGGTGTCCAAATGCCGCTTAGCTATTAGATTCTTCAGAATTTGCAGTCCTATGAAGTGCTGCAACCGGAACTGCTGCAGACATCAGAACTTGCAATCCTACAAAGTTTGTGCCGCGCAGCTGTGTAAAGCTCGACAATCCAAATGCTCCTCATTCAACGAAAACGAGAGACGACGTCGTAACTAACATACTGTAGCTTACACTGCAAGTGAAAATCGACGCCTAGGGCCAAGTGGAAAGCACGACAGAGAAAGGGTAACATACTGCACTACCCAAGAACATGTACGGAGAGTATGACAAGGAGGGCCAGGAGCTCAAGGACACTGACGTTACCGAAAATGCGTTTACATGAAAAGCGCAACGATCTTGTTCTATCAGAGTCAAAATGGCCGCACTGAACACTGAATCAGAACAAAGTCCTCTGTTCACATTACGCAAGGTTTGGTACAGCATTCCATCTTACAAGAAAATCAACATCGATGAAAACAGCGCATCTTCTGCATCTTGTCATAGCAGCACCCTGCTGTTGTTACGGAGCCTTAGGCTTTTGCAATTGAGCTCTTCCTGCGATGACAATAATCGCTACAAATAAATCGAAGGATACCTAATTCCTATAGAGCACCCCAGAAATCAGAGGAAGCTCTCAGTTGGCTAAGAACGGGAAGCAATAGCCCCCACACAAAAAACTTAATGATGTGCTTGTTAGTTGACTGGCATGATCTAGTGAGAGCTAGCTGACTTGCAATGGTATATCTATGTTTTTTTGGCTACCAATGTAGAGCCATACAAAGCCAAAGTTTCAAGGGCCATAGCGCTGCAGCGAATTCACAACCCAACCTGGAAATTTCAGGAGCAGTCCAAATTCTGGTTCATGTCTTTGTCTACAAACTTCATCGTCCCATTTTCTTCTTCTTCAACTCCTGCTGTACTGCTTTTTGCCTTGCCTTCTCTGCAAGGTCAGGCCCCGGATTCTGATCCTTGGCAGAATCAACTTTTGACCCTCCCACATCACTTCCAGGGAAATTCTTGCCAAGGTTCTTTCTTGATCCAACCTTTGAAGAGACCGCTTTTTTAGAGATGGTGGCATCCCTGTTTATGGATACATTAGATTCTTCCATCACAGTCCACTCAGGTTCTTTAGGTTGCACACTAGGTGTCACTGGGCTATTAGTATTTTCAGGGCAATGCTTATCTGGACTGATGCCTTTCCTGGAAGAAGCAACCTTTGCGAAATGACGCCTAGATTCAAACCATTTGCTAACCTGTCACCATAATGCACAGCGAGGGTCAAATCCGATGCCAATATAACCATGAGAACCATGCAATTAGAAAATGATAGGAATCCACCTGACGAAATGTTAACCCTAGTTCTTCTGCCAGGCTTTCTTTAACAGAACGACTAGGGTATTGTTGTGTCTTAAAATGTTCATGTAGCTTCTGCAAGGAAAATGATGTGCATCAACTTATTCATGAATTAAAGCAGTTTAAAATGGTTAATTCTGCAACCAATTGTAGTGAATCATAAATGATACCTGATTAACTACTGGACCAAAATGTCCTTTCCTAGCTGTGCTGTTGCTGCCATTAGAAGTAAGATCTCCATGTTTCTCATCTACTGAACCATGAAGAGAATGCAAGCTTTTTTTAGTGCTTTGTGTAGTCAGTCCATTATTATGGTGCACAACTCTGGAGCCTTTTCCTGCAGGAGAATCAGCTTCACCCTCTTCATTGCATTTTATTGGTGTATTCTTCCCAGACCATTCTTCATCATCACTAGAATCAGATGATGCTTCACCGTATGCCTCCTTTTGAGTCCAGCAAGAATAGGAATATGTCATGGTCAGAAAACAAACTTCTCACATGCAAGCATGCACCGAAGAGCATATTGCCTTTAGCAAACAATTCATAACCTCATGCAATATCGACATAGTACATACAGTTGAGTTGCTAAAAAAGGCTAGTGAGTTTAGTTGCGCAAATCAGTATCAAGATTGAATGCAGCAGCACATAGGTATAAGCTAAGAAACCTCTGGAAATACCTAAATTCAAGGCACAGGACATCTCCTAGATTATGCGCATATGTCTTTTCAACATCTTTTGAATTTGCCTCGATTATGCTAGTTTATTGACTACTAGATTATGCACATATGTCTAAGATCACATTCCATGATTAAGCTCATAATTGTACTTTTGAATTTGCCTAGTTCCAACATGAAACTGAAGCGATCGACTGGATGAAAAACAAACACACAATAGGCGTTATTCAAGACTAAAACACCAAAAAAAAAGATTTTAAATATGCACAGATGTAGGTCGAGGGCATACATCATACAGCTTTTTGTAGTCCAACCGTTCAGCCTGCCGTCTCCTTGAAACTGGTAAAACCATACTCTGGTCTATTTCAGTCTCCATAGGGTCATCAGCAGAACTTGCTGTGTTAGCCTGAGCAGTGCTCTTTTCCATATCACCCACCTTGTCATCAGGTAATGGAGGTGATGAAACTTCATCATGTCCACCAGATTTTGCAATCTCCTTACAAAAATCATCCGAGTCAGATGAGAAGTCAGACTCATCAGAACTTGACTTCTTTTTGACATCTTCATCCGAATCAGGATCTGCTGGATCATAGTCATCATCCTCTGAATCTTCAGAAGGTAACCCGAGGTCATCAACCTTCTTGTCCATCAAAGGTTCCGAATCATCAGAACAGGTCAAAAAGTCTGAGTCATCAGAGTCTGATCCTCCATCCTCATCCTCTTCGTCTTCAGACGATCCTTCTTCCTTACTGACCACATGCTCTTCAGGCATATTGGGGTCAAAGTCATTGTCATCCGAGTCATCTGATGGAAGATCAAATGCGTCATCTTGCTGAGAGCCATTTGCCATAGCAGCTGCCTCTGGAAAAACTTTCTGCAAAAATAAATGTACTACTGAGTTGAAATGTAATTCAATTTGTAAATTGTTACTGTTCTTACAAAGGGAATTTTTACCTCCCAAGAGTCCTCGATGGAGAGGTCACTCCCCTGGAGATCATTTATTAGATCTATACAGTCTATCTTGCAATCACATGCTGGGCAGAGCCATCCTTCATCTCCCATGGGGACTACAAATGAATGGTGCTCATGAATAAATGCCGAAACAAGAATTACTGATACTATGAAAGTGGAAAAGAATATTACTATCTTCAGTACGCAGAGGAGGATTTAAACAGTTCTGGTGGAACCCTCTGTCACAAGCTCCATCGCAGAGAATGATATCATTACCCAATGTAGAATCTTTCGAACCACAAGTGGCACAAAAGATCTGTGATTTATGAAACATTGTCACTGATTAAAATGCTGAGCATAACAGAACACAATTACTAGATAATACAGATACATTGATGGAATCAAAATTACATGCTGACTTACATCTTCACAAGATATTTCTCCTTCAGAATCAAATAAAGATTCGTCAATTTTCCCCTTTGAGAGAAGAGAATCAATATTCTGGAAGACTTCCTGTATTCTCAATTTGCATCGTAAGATTTCTGATTTGGCCCGTTCAAGCTCCTTCTCAGGTCTTATCTTATCCAAACTGCATGTTTATACATGGACGTCAGTCATTTTATATTGCAACAGAATTTGTGATGAACTCAACAGCTAAAGAAATATCACGGCAGTAGCAAAATCCCAAGACGCTGTCTGTTAATGCAAAGTTGAAGATTTTTTTTACACCACGTGTGCATCTGATCAGCAACTGAGCCTAATAGGCCATATAAATTTAACCAAACCAAGCACACATCATGACTGGCAGCGAGAAGATGCAGAGAAACTAACTGTATATAGAGAGAACATAACCAGTGACGTCAGGATGATATCAGAAAGGGTGAAACAATAGAGTTTCAGTGACGGCAAAACATGTGTGAATTGTGACACAAAAGGCCCATCATTTGATAAGGCAAAGGAATACATGGAAGGGGAAATCAGGTGCAAAATGATGGGGTGGGGGGGTGGGGGTGCGCTAAAGGATGTCATCCACTTGACAAGCGTATTTAAGCTAAAATAGTCAAACCTATTAGTCAGTTTTGTAGCACACAACACTATTGTGGTTGGTTTTGGTTAACAAAGAAACTTAAGGATTTTGGCTAGCACATAATACACGGCCTTGCAGCACTATTCAATAACCCTGGCAACACATAGGGAATGAAGAACCAGACTTCTAAACACATATGTAATACTAGTTACTAATAATATAAGATAAAAAGAATTTAAATTCAGAAGATGCTACCAACTCAAAATTCCAAATAATAATATAGAGTGACAAACCTTTGATTTTTCCAGCCTTCGCTAGCATAAGCTTCAATTAGGCTTTGCTCATAATTCATTCGGTTCAAAATGTATCTAAACCGTTTACGAATTTGTGAGAACTCATCTGTGGAACTTTTGTTTGAGGCTCTGCTCTTTTTTCTTCTCTTGGCAGCCGGTTGTACTGGAGTCTGTACATGCTCGGTAGGTGTGATCTTTGAACTTGATGTGGAGTGAAGCACCCTGACATCATTATCAGATGACCTCAAAGTATATGCTTGACCTATTAGTCCTTGGGAACCTTTTTTACCTCTGTTTGCTGCCCTTTTATAGTTTTTCCTTATCCCCAAGTTATTTGGCACTGGTTGAGATGTAGACAGCAAAACTGGATGCTCAAGGTTCTCAGGATTCTGACTAGAGCTCGCACCATTTTCAATCTTACCATTGCCCTCAACTGGACAGTGAGCTGTATTTTTTTCCATAGTAAAAGTTCACCAAAATTTCATCAATTTACAGTAGACAAAAAGCAGTCTTAGAAAACTGTCTTCCTGAGGACCACAATGAAAAAAAAAGAAGCTCTATGTGGCGGAGCCAGATTCACCAGCACCTTGCAATCTACAGCAAAGAAATAAAGATGAATGAATAATGGTTACATGGACTCAACAGTCAAGTACCTATTAAAGTCTTACACACCCCTGATTTGAACCAGGTTTGATTTGTTCCCCATTATTCAAAATTATTAGACTAGCTGATGATCTTTTTAGTTGAAAACGAGCAAGAACATCCATCACTGTTAAGTGATTAGCTGCCAAAAGATCCCTCAGAGAACATGCTCGGCTGTTCTTAAGGCAACATATGTCCTTTCCCATTACCAACGTTTCCTTCACGCATTCAGCTTCAGCCTTCAGCTGAGATGCATTTCTTCCCATCAAAACAGAAAGTGATTGCATCACTTCTTTTCCCATTTTTGTTTTTGCTTTGCTTTTTTCTTGGTACGCATTCTGATTTCTCTAGTCACCTCAATGTTGTAATGTATATCAAAAACATTTTACTGGATGTTTAAAGCATTCAGCTAGCAGAAGATCAAAACTTTTTACTATATATCAAAAGCATAATATATACTCATTCTTTTTGTTTGTAATTTTAGACTTGTCCATGAAAATTGACGAACTACATATATAGAAAAACAAAGGAACTACGGTCGAAAACTGTAGCAAACATAGCTATGCCTCTTTTCCTGAAATCCTGTAGGTACAAATAAAGAATAACACTTTTCACAACTTAAATGACAAACAAAAAGACAGCTGGTCATTTCTCATTGGAATCAATAACTTCTTAGCATCTAAATAGGAGTTCCATAGAATTTTCATAAGCACCATTGCAATTTGTAATGTCAGCAAAAAAAAAGGGCGTACCCAGTGCAGAGAGCTCCCGCTTTGTGCGGGGTCTGGGGAAGGGTGTCAGTGGCAAGCCTTACCCACGCCTGTGCAATGCGAGGAGACCGCGACTCGAACCCGGGACCTTCCGGTCATAGGCGGTAAGACTCTACTGCTTGCACCAGGCCCGCCCTTCTTGTAATGTCAGCAAGGACTAAAAAAAAAATTTGGGAGCAAGCGACAATTAACAGGAGGTGCATATTATAACCGTATATTTCCAAAACAATAACGTATTGGCAACTTCTATAACGTAAAAAACAAGGCAAGCTCAAGCCAATTCCGCATTTCGCTTGACGACAACACAGAAAAAGATGTCTGAAGCCTCGATGACCTTGGCCAAGAAACAGGCAGCTTGCAGCTCATATCCTGCTTCCACGTGTTATGGACCGTGTACGTCCAGAGCTCCAACTCCGCAGCATGCCATGCAATGCTGGGTGCTACCCTCCACCCCTCCCCATTTCTATTGGTAGAGGGTGACCTTGGCATAGCATTTCCAAAGCGCATCTAATTTGAAAGAGAAAATCACAGCCGCTTACTGTATATCCATTCTACACACTAGTCCCATCTCTATGCATCCTGAATTATCTTGAACAATAGGGTGAAGTCAAGTAATGATTTGCCTTTCATAGTGGTGCTGGATTTTATTTCCTACTGCCAAGGTAGGTTAGTTGTTCTAAACACGAACTGCTTTCACACCAAACATCTGGCCCCAAATCCACCTGCATTGTTCGGCTGCTATAAACTCTCAGGATTTCCTTCCGGTGGTCATATACTTCCACAGTGGCTGCTATAAATTCCCAGGATTTCCTTCCGGTGACCATCTACTTCCACAGCGTGCAGAGCTATATCCACGAGGACCCCTGGATCCACAAAATTCAAGCTGGAAGCTCGTTTCTCCCCCCTATGCTAAGTAAAAAGGGGTTGCAAACTGCAACCAGCCGTGGGCTAAAAATGACTTTCGTGTTTTGCGACCAACCAAACCACCATATGTCCGGCTCCCCAGAACAAACGAACTATCGGAACCCTAGAAATCATACCCTTCATAATGTGGCATTCGAACGCCACAGCACCGAACCACATCACACCCTCTGAAATCCCCTATCCCCACGAATTGTTGCAGAAACAGAGCTCAACCGCCGACAGAAATCATATCGTACCACACCATGACCCCGAGCTCCCTCCGCAGAACAGGCCGGCGCGAAAGCTCCCCTGGCGAAACTAAATCGCGAGACGCAGCATACGAATCCAGAGCTCCGAGCACGGCGTTTGACTGCAGCCAGAGGAACGAGAACGAGAGGGACGCGCGCGCGCGTGCGCAGCGGGGAAACGGAGAGGCGAGAGGGACACACGGGGGAGAGGGTACTCACCGCTGCGAGCTCGCGATACAGCACCGCGGAGAAGCTTCCAGGCCCGGCGGCTCTCCTCTCCCGCGTGGGGCGAGGGGGCGGGGGAGGAAGAGGGGGGACGGCGTGAGCCGTGAGCGAAGCGGCGGGCGGAATAAAATGCGTGTGTGCACGGCTCAGGGGCCGCAACGGCAGCACGCACGGGATCCCCCGCTAGGCGCGTGGGTGGGTCGGATGTGCCACGATGGGCTGACAGTTTGTTACGCCAAGGTTGGGCAGAGCCAGGTCCCGCCCGAGTTGGACCGAAAATGCCAAATGACTGAATGAATAGCGCCTTCCTCCCATTTATCAGCACGCAGGATTAGAGCTAAAAGATATATAAAAAAGGATTAGAGCTAAAAAAATGGCAAATGACAAATGGCAGATTTTTTTTGATAAAAAAATTATCAGCACGCAGGATTAGAGCCAGCTAATCAGCACTCAGCGGTCAGCACAGTCTATCGGCCTGACAGATGGCACATTTTTCGTAATAAATAAACACAGTACAGACAATCACATCATTATTTTTATTTTTAATCATATTACAGTGCTCATATAATATTTTTTTAATAATGGAACAAAGTTCCAGCCTCTTGCATGAAAATCACCCTAATTATATGGGCCACGTACACCTGTTATTGTCCTTAAGACCTCTGACTGCTGCACACGAAAGCAAGATAACTCAGGTAGTCTGTCGGGTGTCCTCGAGGAACCCCGAATCATCCACATTTTACAACTCATACAGGATCAATATGGAGTTACCACAACATTACAATACTTGGTACAAAAATAACTTATATCAAAGTGCGAAAGATTTACAATATTAGTTTACAAAATATGTTTAAGTCAAACTTAACTTAAGTTCCAAAATGTGAGTATAATTGTGGAAGCGACTTAGGTAAAGCATCTAAGGTAGAAGAGATGTCCAGATCATGTCGAGCTCACCGACATGACCTCAACTAGCAGCCCAAGTCAGAACCTGCAACAGGGGTCAAACCCTGAGTACTTAAGGGTACTCAACAAGTCTTACCCGACTAAAAGAAAAGACTCCAAGGGTATGTAGGCTAAAGAAAAGTTAGAAGCAAGAATAACTTTTACAGAAAAGCTTACTACAATTGGATTCTTACTTTCAATGTTTTAGCTTCGTATTAGGTCATTTTAAGTATCCAGTTTGCACCTAATCTAAACCAATCACTTCATTAATCATCTTATCTCATCTTGTCTCAGCTTATATCCATCATTAACCATGTTCCATTGATTAACTACAATATATGTTTAGATGGTCGAGTCTCCATAACCGAGGAGCACGACGGTATGAATCGATTTAGCCCAGCTAGGGTTTCCTTACCACACGATATACGCAGGTCCTAGACCTAAATATATCAACATTTACTCGGATCCTCCAAAACATGAACCGGTTTGCGCTACCCAAGAGCACAATACTCCACCTCCCTACGTCGTTCATCCTTGACGGATTCACATGATGTGTACACGCTACTTTCACCACCTTCCACACTCCCAGTGCGCAGTTGTCTTTTCTCATAATGGAATAGCTGAGGTATCATGCTTACCGGAGTATGTAGCCAGTACTGCAAAGTCTCGATCACACGGTGGCCTACAATGAACGGTGCTCAATAGACACAGGCGGGCACTACGTCAAGACTCAAACTTGACGCAAACAAAGAGTCCGCTCGGTCTCAGATTAAACATTATTATTATCATGGTATTATCATGATCCATAAACAGAGCCAAGAAGAACCAAAGTAAAACCTATTTCTCGCTAACGATGAAACCATCGCTCGACTTCTATTGAAGTCTAAGCATTACTAAGCATTAAAGATATCGACCTATTCAGACTAGCATGGTAGAACTAAGGATGCTTGAATATCAAGGTAATCATGCAGTAACGGTATTCAACTAACTCCTAATTACTTAATGCACATCTCACAAGACTTAAGGTGTAACAAAGACTTATAAATACTAAGAGAGGTTAATGGTCTGGGGCTTGCCTACGTTGCAGAGAAGGTTAGATTCCACAGAGGATCACAAGAGTTAGACTTGGCACCAACACCACTGGTGGATGGACCTTCTCCGAAACTTGATTAACTCGAGTCTTCTCACTCTCGTACACTACACGTAATAAATGATGCTTTACTTAACATGATGGACTACATGCCGTGATACATGATGAGAGGTGCACAAGTACATAACAGAAGTTAAACAAAGTTAATTATCTTGAATACAATTTTCCTTCACTAAGAACTAGGGTCATTATCTTACAAAGCATTTTAATTATTATCCTTAAGTTAACTAGTTGTTAACACGAAAAGATTAACTTAACATGGACCAGTAAGATTAACATGAAAAGCATCTACAAAGCATAACCACTTACTCAACTGTTGCACATAAGAAGCAATCAAGGTTTATATACATGCATCTACTAATTAAGCATTTAATTAAACCGAATTAGGTTGCCAAGGAACAAGAGGGGTTTGGTGTTCCAAGATCTACAATCAACTCCAAAATACACCGAAGCCATTTTATGATTTATACTAATTATTTTGGTAATTATTAATTAATAAATAAAGCATGTAATTAAGTGGATAAATTAAAATTATCAAAACGGTACTATAATTTTTACGAATGCAAGCCTAAGCATGTAAAGCACATACAAAAAGTTTCATTATTAAACGATTATTATTTTAGCCTGTAAAAATCATGCAAGGTCCATTTTATAATTAAAAGAGGTAATTTTTAAATATACCAACATTACTTATCATGGGCAACTAATATTTTTCTATGATAGAGCACATCATTATAAGGCTACACAAAAAAATTCATATTTTTATCATGATCCTACAATTAGTTATGAATTAATTAAGAAACTATACCTTTAAACATTTTCTGAAAAAGATAAATCATTTTTCTACGCTAAAAATCATTTTTTACTGACCCCTAAACTAACCCCGGTCACTGACAGAGGGGGCCTGGGGTCAAACTGACCCAGGCCGGCCTTGACCGAGCAAAGGCCGGCGGGTACACGTCGGAGATCGCCGGCTGCGAGGTCTCCGGTAAAGGAAACGGCACCTACTTGACCCTTACGACCTGGCGCACCTACCCATGGGCTCAAACAGATGGATTAGGGTTAGCAACGTGCTCGACCACGGGCATGGCGGCACGGCGGTGCGAAGCACGACGGCGCGGCGGAAGGTTTGCGGCTCCGGCGGTTTGCTGGCCTACATAGGGCTCGGGGTGGCCTCAGTATGCTCACCTAGACTTTCTAGACCACATGGTCGAGGCGGAGACAGCGTCGACGCAGTTGCCGGCGTTGAGGACGAGCATGGCGACGTGAACCGATGGCGAGGTCGCGTTTCGACGCGTCCTGAATGGTAGAGGTTAAAAGAGGGGGCCTATGAGCATCACGATGTCTCAAAGAATACAAAACATGAGAGAGGAGGGAGGGAGATACGGCTGAGTGAGTTGGCCACGGTGAGGTGTGACACGACGGCCATGGCGGCCCGCCGCGACGGGAAGCAAGCGTGCGGCCAAATCTGGTGGAGACAAACGGTGCGAGCGAATCGAGCGGAAGTTCAAGGACAAGGTGAGGCTGCTGGCGGGATGAATTGGACGGAGACGAAGCAAGTGCGGCGAATTTTGCCAGCGAAGGGAGCTCCGCCGGCAGCGGCAGAGAGAGAGAGAAAGGGATGGATGTTGGCGGCTTGGGCTATCGCCCTGTTCGCTTGGCTTATATGATGTACTTTTTTAGCCAACGAATAATATTTTTCTCTCACAATAAATCAACCAACAGTACTTCCAGCCATGGCTTATCAGCCAAACGAACAGGAAGGCGAGGCGCGAAGCGTCGAGGAGCGCCAGCAGCTGCTTGGCCTCTCCACGCAGGCAGCTGCGTGTCCAAGCGCGAGAAACGACGAGCGAGAGTGGCGGGCAGCCACGGACGGCAAAGCTGCTGCGCGGCAGTTGCTCCTGGTGCTACAGTAACCAACTGACAGAGCATTTTCAAATCCCTAGATCTCCCGATTTCACTACTAAACACGATGAGAGACCTTAAGCAAAGTTGTTCATCCACCTTTGGTCTCCAACATTGTCCACTGGCTCAAACTATAATTCTAACTGGATTGATAGATCTAAGGTGAAGAACAAGGGTACTTGTAAACTGAAAACTGGATTCAATTAACAGGGTTTTTGAAACAGTTTGCTTAGCAACTTTAGTATTTAATTAGTGAACAATTATGACTCAATCATCTCAACTAATTACACAGTAACAAAGATCAAGTATTCTACCAATCAATGCAACAAAAGTTGGACAAATTTTATTTATACAATTTGATTTAATAATTCACCAAAAATTGAACTTAACAACTGATATTCAAAAACTTAGGCAGAAATTTGCTAAGTTTGAAAGTCAGCCTTGAATTCAATTTTTGAGCTCAAACTTAAACATATTTGATTTAGAAATTCAAACCAACTTTCATTCCATATGAAAACACACACTTTGCACTTCAAAGTTTATATTAACAAACTTTTAATTGTTTAAGCCATTATCAACCTATAAATTCACAAAGAACCTTAAACATTAATATTGTTAACATTTCATGTAACATGTGAAACACGTTATATGCAATAGGAGGAGCTATAATTGAAACATGGGTTGTATTAATGTCACAATGCCTGATGACTATGCATAATGATGCTCATGACCAGGTTTTATTTGCTTCTAAACATATAGGATGCTATACCTCTACCATCCGTGGATGATACACTAATGCCATAAGGCTTACACGTCCAAAGAAAAAACAAACAAAGTTCAGCCCAACTAGTGGGGCACAACGAACAAAGCAGAACACTAGTCTTGAATATGATTCATGAAGTTCCAGCCGAACTTCGTAAAGACGGCCGTGATCAACGTCTCTCTGCATCCCTCAAAGAACAGCGGTCTCTCCTCCTCCTTGTGCAGCATGGACCACTGTCGTATCCAATACGTTGTCCTAAAAATTACCTTCATCGGTGTATTATGTTTAGCTTTGTTAAATATCATATCGTTTTTATTCAACCAAATTGACCAACACAGTGCAGCGGCTCCTAGCAAAATTTGGTATATAAGTTTTAGGCTTAAACCATGTAGTTGGGAACTTAGCATATTGGCGAAATTAGCGGGAGGTTGAATTCCATATGTGATATGCACAATATTCCAAACAAAAGCGTGCGAAGTAGCAGTCAAAGAAAAAAACGTTGAATAGATTCAACAGTACTACAAAACAATATTTGACACTTCTCTACCAGTTCCTCTTAGCTAAATTATCTTTTGTAAGGGTTACCTCGCCCCACACAAATTTAGACCTTCGAAGTATTGACACGGGTCTGGAAGGATCCTAAAAATTCTGAATTGCCCCATCTCATCTGGAATTTCATCTCCTCTGCAGTCATTTCGGTTTGAGCCGGCTGATCTTGAGATTTTGAAATTAACGAAGTTGGATGCATCATCAGAATAACACTGTTAAATAAATCCAAAAAATACAGACACACGTATCATTTCAAGAATTTAAACTTAGGTAGATATATTTCACCACAAGAAATTCAACTAGCTGAGGTATACTCTCGGTTCGCGTCGGACACATATGCTACGTGGTGCTGAAAGCGATTTGAAATGCTGATCCAGTGCGTACGTACGTCGGCCGGCTTTCTATTTTTGCACGTCTCTCTAACATCTAGAAATTATCTTATTTAGAAAAAAAAAACTTTCGCCGTCTTCGAAAGCTACGGCGACTATACATTAATTAGGCATGTAATACGATCCCCGCAGGAACACGGAACTTGTGCTTGGTCGCTCGTACAACACAGAACATACGCATACGTGCAGGACTTCTAGGCATCCATCCTGCAGGGAGTTCTGTACTACTACTACTCAAGGGAAATACCGAAATACTCCTACCAAATACTGTACAATGCGCATCTCACTGTAGTAGTTTATTGTTTTGCCCGCCATTCCAAACGTAACTTTCCTTGTATCGGATGCGGACGCTCCTTGGAAATGGACTGTGTAGGTGCCGTCGCTATCGCAGACTTGGGGTTGGGGGGTGATCGATGCGAACCCGCACGTCCCAAACGTCCAGACGCGACAAGAACGTCTGTGTACATCCCTTCAATTCGCTGAACTGAATGTCCATCGTTCTAGATCCATCATGCCCACACGAACTGACGCATGCAGCAGCATATTTAATTTAGTTTGGAAATTACAAATAAACTCCATCTGAAAATGCTAACTAACCCTCGTTCTACAAATTTGGAAACTACTCCTATATTACACAGTCGATTTTGAAAATTGAAATGCAAAACTGCTCGGCTCGGCTAATAATTAAGCTTAGCTACGGATCATCATCCTAATTGCATTGCATGCAGGAGAGGATGAATCAGGTCTCGATGAACCCGGTCATGCGGAGCACGGCCGTGCGCACGGTCTGGAGGTCGCGGCCCTTGAGCGTGCGACCGCGCCCCTCGCACATGGACGAGGCCGCCCTCCCCTCCGACAGCCGCCACCTCGCCTCCAGAGCTACGTGCGGCGGCACAAACGCCGCCTCGTCGTCGTCGTCGCCGTAGTAGTCCTCCGCCGCCCATGAGGAGGAGGATGGCCGCTTCACTGCGGCTACGGGGATGACGATGGCCACCGGCGCCGACGACGATGACGAGCCCGCCGGTCGACGGACTTTACTGCTGCCTCCTCCGCGCGCAGCAGCGTCGTCGTCGTCCACGCGGGGGCGGGGGCAGCAGGGCTGCTTCCTGCCTGGCCAGCAGTGCGGCTGCTGCCGCTGGTCGTCGCGGCCGCCATCATCCGGGCTGTGGTGGCGGTGATCCCGCCACAGCACGTCGTCGGCTTCTTGGAGCCCCTCCGCCATAGTCGCCGCCGGAGCTACTAAGCACATCTCTGCTGATCGAGGGTGGTTACGTTGCTGTCTTGCTGACGATATATATATAGATCGATTCGATCAAACTACACGCAGCGACGTGTGCGCATATATAGGGAATTAAGGAAGGTGACGGATAACCGCTAATGATATGGATGTGTGACAGTGAGCACACCGGGGAGTAACAATGGCGACACCCGCGTGGAAAAGGGGCGGCCGCGCGCCGCGTGACGTGCGTCAGTGCGTGCACGCCTGCATGGCCGGGGCCGGTTGGCGCGCCGGTGCTTGCTCGCTCCGCTCGTGCCGTCGTGCACCTGCGGTTTATTTCATTTCACAGTGTCGTCGTAGGTCGTAACGGTGTAAGGATTTGGGGTTTTACGCCGGCCGGCTGGCCGGCAACCGCTGCAACGCTGGCTGTTTCGACTTTTTGACGGCTGCGATGTCGCCGAAGTTAGCTTAGTAGCCGAACCTTTCGATTTCCCGGGTTCCGTGTGCACGTAGCGGAGAGCTGGAGGAGATGCCGTGTCAAGATGTGCTGCTGTGCGCCTGTGCATGCAGGGTACTTGAGGGAAGAGCACACTTGCAACGAGTTCACGGGGATCGGATTAATTGAAAATGGCCGAACACACAAATTTACTAATCGCATTGCATTCAGATACCATGATACCAAGCAGTGGCGGACCCAGGATTCGAAACCAGGGTAGTCCTAGTAAAAATTTTTCATGTGCAACACGACAAAATTCAAAGAAAAAGTTCGGTAAAATGGCTATAAATTAACCAAATTGAGATAATACAATTGAAAGGTTCAAAACTTAAGTAAAAAAAATTTAAGATCGACCAAAGTTATAGAAAAAAATACAACAATGTTTAGGACACCAAATAAATAAAATATAGAAATATATTTTATTGATTTGATGTCATAAACTGAATACTTTGTTTTATATATTTGGTCAAACTTAAAAATACTTAATTTAGAACAATTCTAGATATTAATTTATTCACAGAGAGAGGGAGTGCCACTCTCTCTTAAAGTAAGTGTACGTCTAGAAGTAAAACTTATTTAGTTTGACCAAATATGTATAAATAAGTAGTAGCATTAACACGTATGGTACATGAATATAAGTGCTTCCAGCTCTTCCTTCATGGACGTGGCAGGATGGGCCGGCCCAACTAACTAACTAACTAACCATGTCCCACTCCTACAGCATGCTGGCCCGATTCCCCTTCCCCTCCCAAGCACCTTCTGCTTAGTACCACCTTCCATGCTCAGGGATACAACTCCCACCTTAAAAAACTGAACGGTGCAGAGCTTTTTGAACTTGAAGGGCCGCACGCTCGCGCAGACGGAGAGCGAGAGACGGAGAGTGCGCAGACAGGGAGAGACGAGTAATGGGCCAATTTTGGGCCCAATTCTAAGGTAGTCCTGGGCCTATCTGGACTACCCGCTGGGTCCACCACTGATACCAAGTGCTTGTGACTGATCCGTTTTGGAAATGTACGTAGCTGAGGTTTAGCCATGACTGACCTGGACTCAGTAGGCTATGGCAAGGCTGATGGAGTAAGGGCCCTTTCGGATCCACTAGTATTATATTAATATTTAGCTAGCTAATTGTTAGTAGGAATTGTTTGAATAATAATAATAATAATAATAGGCCACCTATTAGCAGCTTCAAAGAGGCTAATAAAACTAATAGTGAAGAGCATATCTAAGAGTTTCTCTTAAACTTACTCTCTAAATCATCATAGAGAGAGTCAATTGAATAATAATTGAACTCTATATATTTTCACCCTACAATAGTTCCTCTATATCTTGTGCATACTATAGAGATCCAACCCCGTTTTTTATCTTTGGCTAGTGAGAAATCTAGAATACATTATGACTATATTTGGAGATCTAATTAAAAAGTTTTTGGACAATATTTTTTTAAAAAAAATTTATTCCTATCAATGAGGAATGATATAAAGAGGCTCTTGCAGTTTGTCAAACTGATATGGAGCAGTTAGTTGGTCTATTAGCATATTTGTTTGGATCTACTGGTACAAATTTTAGCTGCTAACTATTAGCACCAGTAGATCAAACAGACCTTAACGTTGAGGGTTGTAAAAGAAGTCTAGCATTTTTTAATTACAAAATCTAACCTCCAACCTTTTCCTTATTAATTTATTAAAGCATCTTCAAGAGTCTTTCTAAAATTTACTCTCTAAATCATCATTTAAAAAGTCATTTGATGGCAAAGAGCATTTTCTATATATTCGTACTCTCCATAGAGAGTTATTCTCGTCCTCCATCTTTGGCCAGCGAGAAAGGATGTCTATATTTTAAGATCAAATTAAAGAGGCTGTTAGAGGGTATTTTTCACTAAATATCTATTAAAGAGACGGTTGTTGAAAGGTCCTAAATGGCTAGAGAGGGGTGAATAGCTAAAAAAATTCTACAACACTTAAACCAAGTGGTTAGATAATTAAGTGGCGAAGCAAGTGTTGTGCTAGCCTACTCAAAATGTAAGTCACATATCCATAATTCTAGTTGCTATGATCACTATATCACACAAGGGCTAAGTCACTACTCTCTAAGTTAGTGAGCTCTCAAAGACTAACTAAAGAGTCTTACTAACCAAACTAACAAGCTCTCAAAACTAGCTACACTAAAGAGCTTGACTAAACAAGTATATGAAAGTAAGTGCAAGAGACGTAGTGAGAGTTATACCATCATGTCAAGTGACAATAAATCAATCATAATGAATATCCCGGAGATAAGATGACACAAAGATGTTTCCTCCGAGGTTCGCTTGCTTGCCGGTAAGCTAAGTCCATGTTGTAGCGATTCACCCACTTGAAGGTTCACGCGCTAATAGCCATCACATGTCTAACCCGCAATCGGGTGCAGCACAACCAACACAAGATGTGGATCCACAAGCTACACGCAATCCACTAGAGTTACCTTTAGCGCTCCGCCAGGGAAGGCACAAGAACCCATCATAATCACCGGGAGATGGCTAAGAACAATCACCAACTCATGCCAACTCTCCTCCTCTGCTCCAAGCCATCTAGGCATCGGCAAACGCCAAGAGTAACAAGAAAACCGTAGCAAATCGATCCCCAAGTGCCACTAGATACAATCACTCAAGCAAAAACACTTCGAATCACTCAATCTCACTTTGATTTGCACTATCAAGCAAGAAGATGAGTGGGAGGATGTTTGCTAAGCTCAAAGGATGCTATCACATGTAAAAATGACCAAGATAGTGAGCCAAACACGACCAAGATCTATTTATAGAGTCCCCAAAAGATAGAGCCATTATACCCCTTCACTGGTCTGTCTGTGTACTGACTAGACGCGTCCGATGTAAGGACCAGACGCATTCGGTCAATGTTAAGCTGCCATGTGTCCCTTTCAAAAGAGTTAGCCGTTGGCGCCCAACGTCTCTCTCTGCGTGCTCTGACAGATACGATCGGATGTGACGTTGGAAAACTATCGGACGCTCCCTACGAAGCGTCAAGTCAAGTCCTGAGAGCTCCCAGAGCCGCTCTGGACCGACCGGACGCGTTCGGTCCTCCTGACCGGACGCACCTAACGTCAGGTCACACACAGCCGCACGCTCCACCTCCTTTGACCGGACGCGACGCTCAGCGTCATGTTACTTGATGCACTCAGAGTCCAGTCAAGGTCAAAAACCACACCAAGAGGTTCTGGGGCAAACCGGATGCATCCAGTCACTACCGATTGGACGCACCCCAGAGTCTAGTCACCCCTGCCTCAGCTGTTCACGCCTGGGCTGAATACCGGACACGTCCGGTCCCAATATCAAACACGTCCGATCACGCCAAGAACACTGCCCGAGCCTAGGTTAAACACCGGGCACGTCCAGTCCCAATATCGGACGCGTCCGCCCGTGACCAACGTTTTTAACTCCTTTCTCAACACACTTGCTTCTATATTGCTAACCACAAAATGTCTCACCATAGTGCACGTGTGTTAGCATTTTCAAGGGTTAATTGGTTAGCACATTAGGTCCTAATGCATATGCATGAATCATTTCACCTAATGGTACTTGATAACCGTTTTGATCGAGATTCTCTTCTCTTGATAGTACGACTATCTATTCTAAACGTGGTCACACTCTCTAAGTGTCTTGACCACCAAAACAAAATGGCTCATAACAATTATCCCTTTACCTTGAGCCTTTTGTTTTTCTCTTTCTTCTTTTTCAAGCTTTGAGCATTTAATCATCACCATGGCCATCACCACCATCATGATCTCCATTCATTTGCTCCGTCACTTGGTGTGTACTAATCCTATCTCATAATCACTTAGAGCATTTTGTAGTTAAATTTGTTGGAAGGTTGACTTCGGACAAAAAAAAGAGACCGTAGCGGTGAGGTCAATATGGTCATGTTCGCTTCTCTTATAATCCATACTTTTTAGCTTGTTTTTTTAGCTGGAACAGTGTTTTTCTCTCACAACAAATCAGTCAGAACAGTGTTTCGGCTTGTTTTTTCAGCGAAGCGAACGGGTCTAAGCTCTACTCGGTTTCGTACTCGACCACGACATGTACGTACACACATGGTTCTTCTCTTCCTTTGGTCTTCGGTTTTTTCTCTCCCTGTTAGCTACGAGTGTAACTTCGACGATGGCCCCGTTCACTGCGCCGAAAAAACAAGCCGAAATATTGTTCCGGCTGATTTGTTGTGAGAGAAAAACACTGTTCTAGCTAAAAAAACAAGCTGAAAAGTACGGATTATAAGAGAAGCGAACAGGGCCATAAATTCTCTCTTGTTTTTTTGAACACATGCAAGTTTAGCTTTGTCGGCAGCGTGAGAGAAAATCTTCATACGACTAAAGATTTCCCTCGTTCCATAAAAAAGTTACAATTCTCGTGTTTCGAAAAATCAAATAATTTCAAGTTTGATTAAAGGTTTACAAAATAATATATTAACATTTATGATAAAAAATAAGTATCACTATATTAGTTATGGAATATATTTTCGTA